ACACCACAGAGACGCCAACTGAATGAATGAATGGATGGATGGATTGTACAAGGAAATGAATAAATTAAAGTGAAATAGTGGACACGGATAGGGTTCTGCAGATGCTGCCACGTTAGAAAGAAGGAACTTCATTTGTTGAGAATTTCACAAATGGACACTAAAGTTGTAAATTTTCAATTTGGCCATTGAAGTACATGTTATGATTTTTCTCTGTCCGTAGTCCCATGTTTGATGGGAAATAAAATTAGATTTTTAGTGAATTTTGATCATAAGGAATTGAAAAATTGTGAATCTCATGAATATGTTGTTAAAATTAATTATTAATTTTGACTTAAATTAAAATTTTAATTTTAATTTTTACAAAACAAGGGTATTCACTCATTCAGCCACTTTCATTCTATTATTCGACATAGAGTTTGTTAAACCTTGACATCAATCAATTATTATTATTCATACTAAGAAATTACGACAATTCGTGAAAAGCTTCACGTTCAGTCAATAACATTACCAAGTTGTTCATTTCAACTCTAAACTTATTTTTAGTTGTTCATAAACCATATAGATTGCGATATAAGCTAAATACGAAGCCATCTAGAGGGATTTGTGAAGATTTAACAACTAATACGATGCATATGACGTTTATCAAATTAATGGAGCAAGTGATTATGTAAAAAATTATAAACATCTAATTGTAGTAACTAATTGGGTTCAGAAACAATTCGATGATTAATTTGAAAATTTTCTTGAATTTTAATAGCCATTAATGAAATCAAATAATGAACTCCTTTTTTTTTAAGGTGTCCGTTTTCAACGACTATTTTTTGGGTCTGTAATTCGTCCCTCTTCACACAGACCAATTAAATGCGGGATGTGCCTCCAACTGATCAGGGTCCGAGCACCTCTCCAACTGGACTGTCAAAGTGCTTAGTGAACCATCTCATGTTGCGCCTTGCCTTCCAAATCACTCCTACCTTCCAGTATGTGTATTGCCTTTCAAGAGCCCCAAAAATCGAACACACGATCTCTGATCTATCAGTTTTGAGAGAATTCGTCCTTTGCCAATAGAGAAGTGCCCTGGGGGGCAATCAAATAATTAACTCTTCGTTAATATCTCCGTGGTGCTTATTATAAAAAATATTCTGGTGTGAGAATTGTAAAATGGGAGAAGTAGAAGGACTGTTGAGAAAAGAAGGATGCCTTGCTGGCGCCAATCAACCGCTTCAATCTTGAGACCCTTCTGGCGTCTGCTTTTCTTTTCCCAATCTTCCTAAGCTTTGTGCAGTAAACACACACACACTCATTGCGAAATTTCTTCTGTGAACTAGCCCTAGGTTTCCATTTTTAAACATTCCAATTACTCATAGTTATTAACGATTATATAGCATTGACAATTTTCGTGGGGTGTTGAAGAAATGGAAGGAGGAGAAGGAGGAGGAGGGTTGAGTGTTGGGAGCATACCATCAGCATCGTCTGCGCCGCCGCCATTTCTGAGCAAGACATACGATATGGTGGACGATCCAACGACAGATTCGGTGGTGTCTTGGAGCAAGAGCAACAATAGCTTCGTGGTCTGGAACGTACCGGAATTTTCCAGGGATCTTTTGCCTAAATATTTTAAGCACAATAATTTCTCCAGCTTCGTTCGCCAGCTCAACACTTATGTGAGCATCTCTTTTTGTGGCTTTTTGAATTTTCAATTTTTTTAAATGATTATTGGAGGTACTTGTCCAGTTGCCCTAGGTTACGAGGATCATTATTTTATGCTTGTATGTAGATATTTAGCTAAGTTACTACTGCTTCAGAGGATTACATATTATAGAGACCAGATTATCTCAGAGAGTCACAAGCAGGATGATTATCAAAATATCAAAGTTCCAGTAGCTGCTCAGATTTGGCCTGATTTGTTTATTTTTGATTTTTTTTTTCTGTTAATGGCATCCAAATTTCAGGTTCTGGAAATGGTTTGAGTGGACAGAGAAAGAAAACTCTGCAAGTTTTCTTCCCAACTGATAATTGAGGAACAACTTTGTTTCATATTATTTATCAGCTGATACCCAATACGCCATGACTGATATGGAAAGGTGCTTTTGAGAACCACTGGAACCTTGACTTTGAACCATGGTCTCTCAAAAATACTAGCTCATCGATATTTGTATTAAAAACTTTCAGTATAGTGTCTGTTTTGGAAAATTTAGGTGAATCGTGTTTGGATTATGGAAGCTAATTTGGATGTACAAAGCTATTCTTGAAAATAATGAAAATCATCAGGAATTCAGGATCACTGTATTCTGTACATTCATGGTTTTCAGTACAACTAGTGGAGTTGAGAACCCAATTAATCATGTTTTGCGAAAAGAATTAGCCGTGTTTATGTTGAATCAGTCCTTTGTTTCATGCAGTATCTTGGCTATATGTCATAAAGGTCTTCTAAAAATGGAGATATGTTTTCTTTTCTTTTCTTTTCTTTTCTTTTTTTAATTTTATTCTGAAGGGCCATATCATGTTGTCGGCGACCATAATATTTTTATAGTTTGCTTTCCTCTTTTTCCAATCAGGGGTTCAAGAAAGTTGACCCAGACAGCTGGGAATTTGCAAATGAGGGTTTCCTAAGAGGCCAAAAGCACCTTTTGAAGAGCATAAGTAGGAGAAAATCTTCCCATACACAACATCAGCAACCCTCCCAATTTCAGAGTTCATCTGTTGGGTCTTGTGTTGAAGTTGGAAAATTTGGAATAGAGGAAGAGGTCGAAAGACTGAAAAGAGATAAAAATGTTCTCATGCAGGAGCTTGTCAGGTTAAGGCAGCAGCAGCAATCGACAGATAACCAATTACAAACTGTTGGGCAGCGTGTTCATGTAATGGAGCAGCGCCAGCAACAAATGATGTCATTCCTCGCAAAAGCCATGCATAGCCCTGGATTTGTGGCCCAGCTGGTACATGATCAAAATGAAAGCAACAGACGCATCTCTGGAGGTAATAAGAAAAGGAGACTTCCCACTCAGGAAGAGGAAGTCTTAGGTGGAAAACTTGATACAGTGTCACCTGATGGACAGATTGTTAAGTACCAGCCTTTGATGAATGAAGCTGCAAAGTCCATGCTGCGGCAAATCCTAAAGATGAATGCGACTGGGAGGCTTGAATCGAAAGTTAACAACCTGAATGGTTACTTGATTGATAGTGTCCAGCCTCCATCTGGTATAGCAGACAGCGGTAGCTCCTCCAATAGAATGTCTGGGGTGACCCTTTCAGAGGTTTTGCCACCTTCTTCACAATCACCAGCGGTAGCAGAATCAGCATTTTCTTTCAACTGTCCTTCAGCTGCCATATCCGCGGTCCAGCATTCCTCTGGTTTGGTACATGAGAAGAAACAAGGTACTCCATTTCAAGAAATGAATGTTGGGTTGCCAGAATTTCCTCAAAGTCAAGGAATCTATCCAGAAAAGCATGAGCACCTAGACATGCCTCTTACTGGAGCTGAATCTAGAGATGCAGGGAATATGGACGCAATGACAGGATTGGTAGATGGCCCTATGCCAGTTGGACCTGATGGATTTTCATCAGATCTTGACATTGATATCTTGCTAGACGAGATCCCTAAGCTACCAGGTATAAATGATGTTTTCTGGGAACAATTTCTTTCTGCAAGTCCCCTGACTGAGGATACTGATGAGATCAATTCTGGCACATTGGAATGTGGTACTGGAGAGGAACAGGATCAGAAGATAGGGCAAGAAGGTGAATGGGATAAGATGAAGCTTATGAATAATGTTACGGAACATTTGGGACGTCTTGCATCTGCATCCAGTACTATCTGATTCTGTGTTAAGAATTATATTCTTGCATGAAGTTTTGGAGGTAAAACTTCAATTCAATTTCCTTTGATAAGCAGTGGGTCATTTCACATTCAGTCCTTCTCTATACAGACTTACCAAGTGTTAACAGAGCTTAATGCTATCTTCATATAAGGCAGGTCTTTATGACAAATTTCTAATTCTGGCTTCTCATTATCAAATTCGTATATGTACCACTGCAGAAAATAGCTATACATTGATGTCAATACGTATCTATGTCAACAATCGAGTGTGTATCCTTTTAATAACTACACAATCTGAATATTACATATGTGCTTGCTTATAAGCAGTGTGTCCCAAGGAATATGTGGTTAAAAAGTAGATAAATCTAAATAATATGCAGTTGAAAATGATATATGACCAGTTTATAAATACTTAAAGACTTCGCGAAACATGCTTTGTCTCCTCGGCTTAGGTTTTTGACTTGTTGGATAAGCTTGGTGTCTCTGATATTCATGGTGATTACAATATTATAATTTTGCTTCAAATTGCTGCTATATTTGTGTTGAATTTTTGGCAAAATGATATCAAATGCTGAATTTTGGTTTTTGCCAGGTCAATGCTGTGGAATACCGGCATACAAAATGCCTCTACTCAAATATGCTTCTGTTACAGTGGGAAGTTTTTAGACTGCTATCCACCTCAAACTTTACCCTCTTTTTTGGAAAATAATGCATGGAGACCTTTGTATGAAGTTTGTAAACTGTACTTCTAAATCCTAGAAGAAAACTGTATGATATATGATGTCCTAATGTCATAGCAATTACCTACACTTGCTTAGACAGGAATGGTAGACCAGCTGAAATTTGACATCTTGACCTTTTATAATTCTCTTGCCTATGAAGTTGTGTATAATTGTGCTTTTGTATACCTTTAGTTGAAGGAGGTCTCCTCGAAGGTCTTTGGCTTCAATGCTTTCATATTCAAGGTTCAGTTCATGCAAGAATGAACATAATTTTAGATGCAAATTGAGTACAATATTCACCAATTATCCTTACTAGAGCAATATCCTCCTTTTCGAACGAGCCCCCACAAACAGAAGTGACTGGGTATAGGCATTTCTTGATGTACTCCTGTTGGCACATAAAAATTCAGCCCAAATCGAACAGCCCAAAAAGTATAGCCCAATTGAAGGATCCCCAAATCGGATAGCCCAAAGAACGAAATCCAATCGAACGAATCAAGGTGAAGGCCCAAATAAGGGGCCCAAGAATGCGGTAACGCCATCGTCCAAGTTTGCAAGTCGCCCAGAATCTGAACGAATGGAGTGTCATACGGTCGCCCAGAGCTATTATTCTACTCTTGCCCAAACCTTCAAGTCGCCCAAGGTATCAACAAATATAAAGCATCGTGGTTATCAAAGAATGCAGTTATCAAGGCAGTTGTTAAAGTAGCCTTATCACGTTCCACGACTCTAGAAATTCAATCGAAAGCAGTTGAACGATGAAAGATAATGGCAGCAGTTAAAAGGCAGTTTCATGACAAAATGGCTACTACAAAGAAAGTGGGTGGTTATAGGACGATCAAACAGTTTTTAGGGTAGTTAATCACAAAGAGATCGTCTATGAGGTATAAAAGGGAGAAAGGACGCAGAAATAAAGGACCGAATCCAAAACTCTCGAACAGAGAATATGTAACTTTCATTTCCTTAGCTCTTAGACTTAAACATTTTTCTTTCTGTAACTCGTGTGCTTGCGCCCCTTGGAGGCACGTTGTTTTTCATTCCCAATTGTAAAGTTCATCGCCAATAAAAGAACACTCCTTTTTGGGACTTTGTCTCAAGAGGTTTCGTCCCTTACACAATCGTCTGATCTTTTTTAATTGTTAGCGACTTAACCCGCGCGAAACAATTTGGCACGCCCGGTGGGACTGTGGTGTTAGGTGTTGAAAATACAAAAGGTGAAACAATATGCCTCAGAGATCCGACAAGGAAGGAGCAAGTCAGGGAGGAATCCAGTCTGTAATCGAGCGATATGAGGAGCAGCATGCCTCTCCACGAACAGATGGACAAAATCAGAGCAGTAACAGTCGTTACGAACCAATGACGGAGTTGAGTCCTCGAACCATGGGTGCATTGCTTGGAGAACTCACGCAAGACGTCGTTGAACAGGTAAATCTTCGAAGTATTCATAATATGGAAAGATTTACACAAAATGGAAATGCACACTATGACAATATGGCCAAACAGCTAAAGACGTTAAACAAAACAATGAATAAGTTAGTAGGCCAAATATGTCAACCAGCTATACCTCTTACAAACCACTTTCAAACCAGGACAATTGTGGGACATAATCCCTCTGTCCTAAATTCGAATCAAGGGGTGGAATCGCTTTCTGGTCCCTCTACTTCAAACCAAGGAGGTACTACAGTGCCAAATCAAAATAATGGTAGTGGAATGCCTAACTTGGGGGGTAATTCAAACGTGAGAGATAATGTCCTAAACAATGGACATAATATTCCACGTGGTAATGAGGGAACAGATGTACAGGCTAATGGTAATGGCCCTAATTATGGTAATTTTGTTGCCAATCAAGGACCAAACATCAGACCTCATGCAAATCAACCGGTTAATCAGCCTGTAGGAATTCCATATGATCCCAATGTCATGTTGAGGAACCAGATTATGGAAATCGTGCAGGATCAGATGGCCTTTGGGGTGCGTCCTGTCATTAGGCCGACGTATACAAAGCCATATCCTGATTGGGTAGACCAAGCATATCCATGGCCTAAAGGGTACAAAGTGCTAGAATTCTCACTGTTTACTGGTTTAGGAGAGGTGTCTACTCTAGAACACATAGGGCGATTCACGTTGCAAAGTGGTGATGTAACCGATTACCATAAAATGAGACTTTTCCCTAGTTCGTTAACAGGAGTAGCTTTCTCCTGGTTCATCAACTTGCCAGCGAACTCTGTTCAAACATGGCAACAACTGGAACAGTTGTTTCATGCTCAGTTTTATAAAACTGAATTTGAAGTCAATTTGGCTGATTTGGCGAATCTACGTCAAATGCCAAATGAATGGGCAGAAAGTTTTCTCCAAAGGTTCAAAACAGCAAGAAGCAAGTGTTTTGTACCTCTGCCCGAAAAAGAATTTGTCAAGATCGCAAAAGGCTGCTTGAGCTTTGATTTAAAAAAGAAGTTCCAGGATAAAGAATTTCCTGACCTTTTCCAGTTGAGTGCGAATGTGATTAGATATGAACGACTAATAAGAGAAGACGAACAAATGAAAAATTCTAGTAAATGGACTTATTACAGAGACCCAAATTTTGACGTTCATACCATCGACGACGAATCATACGATCAGGCTGAAATATGTTTGGCCGAATTGGTAAAAGGGGATACATATACTTGTCTCATAATTGCCAAACCTAGACCATCGGGCAAAGATGAGCCCATAAAGGAAGGAAACATAAAGGTTAGAACGTTCTCGTTCGATGTGACCAAAGCTGACCTTATATTCGATAAATTATATAGGGATAAGCAAATAAAGTTGAGCGATAAACACAAATTGCCAAACCCTGAACAAATAAAGGGTAAAAAATATTGTAAGTGGTATAATGCATGGTCGCATTTGACTAACAATTGCTTGGTTTTCCGTCACGTATTGCAGGATGCTATTGAATCAGGACGAATTACGTTCGACGATAAGAAAAAGATGGCAGTGGACGAAAATCCTTTCCCACAGCCACTTGGGGTAAATATGGTAACGTCTGGGTTCAAGAACAAGTTGCCAAAATTCAAGTTGATCATAGACGATGGAGAAGAAGATACTAAAACACATCCCAGTGTCTTCGAACGTATCAAAGGGAAAGAATAAAAAAAAGGACGAAAACGTCCTGTACGCAAGGTGTAAAAGGGAAGTAAATGGAGACACGGAGAAACCAGAGACACGGCAACATCCTCATCGCCCTGCCTTCTTCCCAAACATTCAGTATGGTAGAGGGCGAGGTACATCATTTTATAGAGGACCACCTTTTGAAAGGCAGTTCAGACCAGCAGATACTGGAAGAACATTTAGGCCGCAACCTCGCCGACCAAATGTATGGCATTCATTCCAGTACAGCGCAGGAAGGGCAATACCCTTCGATGAGATGACTAGGACCCAACAAAGGCGTTTCCAGCGAAACTACGGACGGATGATGAGGCAGCAACAAGGAATGCCACATCCTAAAGCGCCTCTATTACTCAAGGTAGCCAATCAGAACGTCCTCAAAAATAGTAAAGAGACTGGTACAGATGAATCAATGAAGGAACTGCCAAAAACATCTTCTGGGAGGTCAAGGTTTGAGAGGGACAAAAAGGATGAAGAAGATCCAGATCAGCCCCTTGCTATCCAATTCGGTACGTTGCCTCCTGTCGTGGCCAATAATTACCTACTGGCCAATGAATTCAAGAATAAAGAAAAGGAAGAAGAGAGGGAGGACAACGAAGGAGAAGCCTGCATGCTGGTATGTGAAGAAGGCCAGACTTCTGGAGAGGCCTACAACGATGAAGAGGACGATGGGATGACAGACATTGAAGAAGAAATCGACCTAGAAGCAGAAAGGAAAAAGAGGGGAGTATCGCGCAACACTCTGTTTAAGCAACTACACCAAGAGGGAGTTCGCGAAGTAGACTTGTTGGGGGAACCATCTGGGCGTCCTTTCGACTTCTACGTACTATACGGGACACCCAAAATGAAGAAGAGAGTACCTCGCTCTGAAAAGTATGGGTCACCTCCAAAGATAATGCCCCCTCCCACAGGTTGGATAACTGATGAGGAAGCATTAGAAAGAAGTGAGAAGGAAATTCGGGAGACAGAGGATCAACGTGACATACTACACGTCGACCTATCACAAGGGGATAATTCGACAGAAAACAAGCAAGAAGTAGAAATAGAGGCTGTCGAAAAGGTTGTTTTTAAATGGCCAGCCATGAAATTGACAAAACACCTGAGGCCATTATACGTTAAAGCTCTAGTTAACGGCGTCCCAGTAGCAAAGGTGCTTGTCGATAATGGAGCGACTATAAACACCATTCCATCCAGGATGATGAGAAAGTTCGCAAAGACAGAGGGTGATATGATTTCTACAGAAGTCATCCTCACTAGCTTCAATGGAGGAGCAACTTCAGCTAAGGGAGTTATGCCTTTAGACATAACTATAGATACGACTACTAGGATCACTGTCTTCTTTGTAATAAATGGCCCTACTAGTTACAATGTGCTCCTAGGAAGAGATTGGATACACGGAAGCCGCTATATACCCTCGTCGCTCCATCAATGCCTGATTTTTTGGAATGACAAAGGCGAAGTAGAGGTGGTACATGCCGATCATAGGCCTTTTGTCGCGAAAGCAAACTCGGTGGAAAAGTTCATGTACGAAGGAAACTATGGACCTGTCAGAGTGGTACAAGACGGGGAAGAAACTTAGGTTGTCGCGCAAAGCGAAGAACCATTCTCAGTGGACGCACTCACTGAGATATTCAAACAGATGAGGCCAAATATAGTGGCCCTGGAAGAGCCAGTGATTGGCAAAAGAATAATCAAGGAATCTTGAATGGATTCTGAGTTGCAAAAGCAAATGGCCGATATTCAGGCCTTCAAAGCCAGACTGATGGCTTTCAATAAGGAATGCAATGACAAAGCAAAGGAAGAGACTGCCCTAAAAGCGCTGAAGGACAAGTTGGCAGTATTCGAATTAGAGCAAAGCCTTGGCCGAGAAGTCAACAAGGTGGACTGTTTGGAAGAGGAAGTACTTACAAAAGAACTGGACGACGAGGTGATGCGAATTGCCAAACCTGGATACGCTCAAGCGCAAGACCCTCTGATCAAAGTAAATACTGGCAATGAAGGAGAAGATCACCCAACGTTCATCAACCAGATGCTCGACCAAGAGGTTAGTAACAAATTAATCGCTTTGTTAAAAGAGTAC